CTGGACCAGGCTCGCTCGTAGACCAGGCACACTCCTGGACCAGGCACGCTCTTGGACCACGCAAGCTAGTGGATCGACACGCTCCTGGACCAGGCAAGCTCGTGGACCGGGCAAGCTCCTCGACCAGGCAAGCCCTTGGACCAGGCAAGCTCCTGGACCAGGCAAGCTCCTGGACCAGGCAAGCTCCTGGACCAGGCAAGCTCTTGGACCAGGCAAGCTCCTGGACCAGGCAAGCTCTTGGACCAAGAAAGCTCCTGGACAAGGCAAGCTCCTAAACCAGGCACGCTCGTGGAACAGGCAAGCTCATGGACCAGGCAAGCTCCTGGACCAGGCAAGCTCCTGGACCAGGCAAGCTCGTGGACCAGGCAAGCTCGTGGATCAGGCAAGCTCGTGGACCAGGCAAGCTCCTGGACCGCGCAAGCTCCTAGACCACGCAAGCTCTTGGACCAGGCACGCTCCTTGACCAGGCAAGCTCTTGGACCAGGCAGGCTTCTGGACCAAGCAAGCTTTTGGACCAGGCAAGCTCCTGGACCAGGCAAGCTCCTGGACCAGGCACACTCGTGGACCATGCACGCTCTTAAACCAGGCAAGCTCTTGGACCAGGCAGGCTTGTGGACCATGCAAGCTCCAGGACCAGGCAAGCTCCCGAACCAGGCAAGCTCCTTGACCGGGCAAGCTCCTGGACTAGGCAAGCTCCTGGACCAAGCACGCTCGTAGACCATGCTCGCTCCTGGACCAGGCAAGCTCCTGGACGAGGCAAGCTAACGGACCAAGAAAGCTCTTGGACAAGGCAAGCTCCAGGACCAGGCACGCTCGTGGAACAGGCAACTCCTGGACCAGGCAAGCTCCTGGACCAGAATAGCTCCTAGACCAGGCAAGCTCCTGGACCAGGCAAGCTCCTGGACCATGCAAGCTGCTAGACTAGGCAAGCTCCTAGACCAGGCAAGCTTCTGGACCAGGCAAACTCGTGGATCAGGCACGCTCCTGGACCAGGCAAGCTCCTGGACCAGGCAAGCTCCTAGACCAGGCAAGCTCCTTGACCAGGCAAGCTCCTGGACCACGTAAGCTCTTGGACCAGGCAAGCTCTTGGACCATGCAAAGCTCCTGGACCAGGCAAGCTCTTGGACCAGGCAAGCTCTTGGACCACGCAAGCTCCTGGACCACGCAAGCTCTTGGACCAGGCACGCTCGTGGACCTGGCAAGCTCTTGGACCTCTGGACCAAGCAAGCTATTGGACCACGTAAGCTCCTGGACCAGGCAAGCTGTTGGACCAGGCAAGCTACTGGACCAGACAAGCTCTTGGACCAGGAAATCTCCTGGACTAAGCAAGCTCCTGTACCAGGCAAGCTAACGGACCAAGAAAGCTCCTAGACAAGGCAAGCTCCTGGACCAGGAATGCTCGTGGAAGAGGCAAGCTCCTGGACCAGGCAAGCTCTTGGACCAGGCAAGCTCCTGGACCAGGCAAGCTCCTGGACCAGGATAGCTCCTGGACCAGGCAAGCTCCTGGACCAGGCACGCTCCTGGAGCATGCAAGCTCCTGGACCAGGCAAGCTTCTGGACCAGGCAAACTCCTGGACCTGGCACGCTCCTGGACGAGGCAAGCTCGTGGACCAGGCAAGCTCTTAGACCAGGCAAGCTCCTGGACCAGGCACGCTCCTGGACCACGCAAGCTCTTGGACCAGGCAAGCTCTTGGTCCAGGCAAGCTCCTGGACCAGGCAAGCTCCTGGACCAGGCAAGCTCCTCGACCACGCAAGCTCCTGGATCATGCAAGCTCTTGGAACAGGCACACTCCTAGACCAGGCAAGCTCTTGGACCAGGCAGGCTTCTGGACCAAGCAAGCTATTGGACCACGCAAGCTCCTGGACCAGGCAAACTCCTGGACCAGGCACGCTCGTGGACCGTGCACGCTCCTGGACGAGGCAAGCTCTTGGACCAGGCAGTCTCGTGGACCAGGCAAGCTCCTGGACCAGGCAAGCTCCTGGACCAGGCAAGCTCCTTGACCAGGCAAGCTCCTGGACCAGGCAAGCTCCTGGACCAGGCACGCTCGTGGACCATGCACGCTCTTGGACTAGGCAAGCTCTTGGACCAGGCACGCTCCTAGAACAGGCAAGCTCTTGGACCAGGCAATCTCCTGGACCAGGCAAGCTTCTAGACCAGGATAGCTCATGGACCAGGCAAGCTCTTGGACCAGGCACCCTCCTGGACCATGCAAGCTCTTAGACCAGGCAAGCTCCTGGACTAGGCAAGCTTCTGGACCAGGCAAACTCGTGGACCAGGCACGAACCTGGACCCGACAAGCTCCTGGACCAGGCAAGCTCCTAGACCAGACAAGCTCCTGAACCATGCAAGCTCCTGGACCAGGCAAGCTCCTGGACGGGGCAAGCTCCTTGACTAGGCAAGCTCCTGGACCAGGCAAGTTCATGGACCACGCACGCTCTTGGACCAGGCAAGCTCTTGGACCAGGCACGCTCCTCGAACAGGCAAGCTCCTGGACCAGGCAAGCTCCTGGACCAGGATAGCTCCTGGACCAAGCAAGCACCTGGACCAGGCACGCTCCTGGACCATGCAAGCTCCTAGACCAGGCAAGCTTCTGGACCAGGCAAACTCGTAGACTAGGCACGCTCGTGGACCAGGCAAGCTCCTGGACCAGGCAAGCTCCTAGACCAGGCAAGCTCGTGGACCACCCAAGCTCTTGGACCAGGCAAGATCCTAGACCAAGCAAGCTCCTGGACTAGGCAAGCTCCTAGACCAGGCAAGCTCTTGGACCAGGCAAGCTCCTGGACCACGCAAGCTCCTAGACCAGGCAAGCTCTTGGACCAGGCAAGCTCCTGGACCTCGCAAGCTCCTGGACCAGGCAAGCTCACGGACCAAGAAAGCTCCTGGACAAGGCAAGCTCCTGGACCAGGCACGCTCGTGGAAAAGGCAAGCTCCTGAACCAGGCACGCTCCTCGACCAGGCAAGCTCTTGGACCAGGCGAGCTCCTAGACCAGGCAAGCTCCTGGACCTCGCAAGCTCTTGGACAAGGCAAGCTCTTGGACGAGGCAAGCTCCTGGACATGGACGTAGACGTGGACGTGGACCTGGACGTGGACGTGGACATGGACATGGACGTGGACGTGGACGTGGAGGACTTGGACGTGGAGGATTTGGATGTGGATTGATGTGAACGTGGACGTGGACATGGACGTGGATGTGGACATGGACGTGGACGTGGACGTGGACGTGGAGGACTTGGACGTGGACATGGACGTGGACATGGACGTGGACTTGGACGTGGACATGGACTTGGACATGGACGTGGACATGGACGTGGACATGGACTTGGACATGGACGTGGACATGGACGTGGACGTGGACGTGGACGTGGACATGGACGTGGACGTGGACATGGACGTGGACATGGACGTGGACGTGGACATGGACGTGGACATGGACGTGGACAAGGACGTGGACGTGGACGTGGACGTGGACATGGACGTGGACATGGACTTGGACGTTGACGTGGACGTAGACGTGGACATGGACGTGGACGTGGACGTGGACGTGGACGTGGACATGGACATGGACGTGGACGTGGACGTGGTCGTGGACATGGACATGGACGTGGACGTGGACATGGACGTGGACGTGGACATGGACGTGGACATGGATGTGGACATGAACGTGGACATGGACGTGGACGTGGACGTGGACGTGGACATGGACGTGGACGTGGACGTGGACGTGGACGTCGACATGGACATGGACGTGGACGTGGACGTGGACGTGGACATGGACGTGGAGGACTTGGACGTGGACTTGGACGTGGACGTGGACGTGGACGTGGACATGGACGTGGACATGGACGTGGACGTGGACGTGGACGTGGACATGGACATGGACGTGGACGTGGACATGGACGTGGACGTGGACATGGACGTGGACACATGGACGTGGACGTGGACGTGGACGTGGACATGGACGTGGACGTGGACGTGGACGTGGACGTGGACATTGTCGTGGACGTGGACGTGGATGTGGACGTGGACATTGTCGTGGTCGTGGACGTGGACGTGGACGTGAACGTGGTCGTGGACGTGGACGTGGACGTGGACGTGGACGTGGACGTTGACGTGGACATGGACATGGACATGGACGTGGACGTGGACGTGGACGTGGACGTGGGCGTTGACGTGGACATGGACGTGGACGTGGACGTGGACGTGAACGTGGTCGTGGACATGGACGTAGACGTGGACGTTGACGTGGTCGTTGACTTGGACGTCGAGGTGGACGTGGATGTGGACGTGGTCGTGGACATGGACGTGGACGTGGGCATGGACGTGGACATGGACGTGGATATGGACGTGGACGTGGACCTGGACGTGGTCGTGGACGTGGTCGTGGACGTGGACGTGGTCGTTGACGTGGACGTGGACGTGGTCGTGGACGTGGACGTGGACGTGGACGTGGACGTGGTCGTGGACGTGGTCATGGACGTGGAGGACTTGGACGTGGAGGACTTGGACGTGGACGTGGACGTGGACGTGGACGTGGACGTGGTCATGGACTTGGTCGTGGACGTGGAGGACTTGGACGTGGAGGACTTGGACGTGGACGTGGACATGGACGTGGACGTGGACGTGGACGTGGTCGTGGACGTGGTCGTAGACGTGGACGTGGTCGTGGACGTGGTCGTGGACGTGGACGTGGTCGTGGACGTGGTCGTGGACGTGGACGTGGACGTGGTCGTGGACGTGGAGGACTTGGACGTGGAGGACTTGGACGTGGACTGACGTGGACGCGGACGTGGACGGGGACGTGGACGCGGACGTGGACGCGGACGCGGACGTGGACGCGGACGTGGACGCGGACGTGGACGTGGACGTGGACGTGGACGTGGACGTGAACGTGGACGGGGACGTGGACGTGGACGTGGACGTGAACATTGATACGTGGACGCGGACGTGGACGTGGTCGTGGACGTGGACGTGGACGTGGACGTGGTCGTGGACGTGGACATGGACGTGGACGTGAACGTGAACGTGAACGTGGACGTGGACGTGAACGTGGACGTGGACGTGAACGTGGACGTGAACGTGAACGTGGACGTGAACGTGAACGTGAACGTGAACGTGGACGTGGACGTGAACGTGGACGTGAACGTGAACGTGGACGTGGACGTGCACGTGGACGTGAACGTGGACGTGGACGTGAACGTGGACGTGGACGTGAACGTGGACGTGAACGTGGACGTGGACGTGGACGTGGACGGGGACATTGATACGTGGACGTGGACGTGGACGTGGACGTGGACATGGTCGTGGACGTGGACGTAGACATGGTCGTGGACCTTGACGTGGACGTGGTCGTGGTCGTGGACGTGGTCGTGGACGTGGACATGGACGTGGACGTGGACGTTGACGTGGACGTGGACGTGGACATGGACGTGGACGTGGACGTGGACGTGGACGTGGTCGTGGACATGGACGTGGACGTGGACGTGGACGTGGACGTGGACGTGGGCGTTGGCGTGGGCGTGGACGTGGACGTGGACGTGGACGTGGACGTGGGCGTTGACGTGGTCGTGGACGTGGTTGTGGACGTGGACGTGGACGTGAACATTGATACGTGGACGTGGACGTGGTCGTGGACGTGGACGTGGACGTGGACGTGGACGTGGACGTGGTCGTGGACGTGGACGTGGACGTGGACATGGACGTGGACGTGGACGTGGACGTGGACGTGCACGTGGACGTGGACGTGAACGTGCACGTGGACGTGGACGTGGACGTGAACGTGAACAAGAACGTGAACGTGAACGTGAACGTGAACGTGGACGTGGACGTGAACGTGGACGTGGACGTGGACGTGAACGTGGACGTGAACGTGGACGTGGACGTGGACGTGGACGTGGACGTGAACGTGGACGTGGACGTGCACGTGAACGTGGACGTGGACGTGGACGTGGACGTGGACGTGGACGTGGACGTGGACGCGAACATTGATACGTGGACGTGGACGTGAACGTTGATACGTGGACGTGGACGTGAACGTGGACGTGGACGTGGACGTGGACGTGAACGTGGACGTGGACGTGGACATGGACATGGTCGTGGACGTGGACGTGGACGTAGACATGGTCGTGGACGTGGACGTGGACGTGGTCGTGGACCTTGACGTGGACGTGGACGTGGACATGGACGTGGACGTGGACGTGGACGTGGACGTTGACGTGGACATGGACGTGGACGTGGACGTGGACGTGGACGTGGACGTGGACGTGGATGTGGACATGGACGTGGATGTGGTCGTGGTCGTAGACGTGGACGTGGACGTGGACGTGGACGTGGACGTGGAGGACGTGGATGTGGAGGACGTGGACGTGGACGTGGAGGACGTGGACGTGGACGTGGACGTGGACGTGGTCGTGGACGTGGAGGACTTGGACGTGGACATGGAGGTGGACGTGGACGTGGACGTGGACTTGGACGTGGACCTGGTCGTGGACGTGGACGTGGACGTGGACGTGGACGTGGACGTGGACGTGGACGTGGACATGGACGTGGACGTGGACGTGGACGTGGACGTGAACGTGGACGTGGACATGGTCGTGGACGTGGACGTGAACGTGGCAAAGACGTGGACATGGACGTGGACGTGAACGTGGACGTGGACGTGGACATGGACGTGGACGTACACGTGCACGTGGAAGTGGACATGGTCGTGGACGTGGACGTGAACGTGGACGTGGACGTGGACATGGTCGTGGACGTGGACCTGGACAGGAGCGTGCCTGGTCTACGACCGTGCCTGGTCCAGGAGCTTGCCTGGTCTAGGAGCTTGCCTGATATGGAGCTTGCCTGGTCCAGGAACTTGCCTTGTCCAGGAACGTGCCTGGTCCAGGAGCTTGCCTGGTCCATGAACGTGCCTGGTCCAGGAGCTTGCCTGGTCTAGGAACTTGCCTGGTCCAGGAACGTGCCTGGTCCAGGAGCTTGCCTGGTCCAGGAACGTGCCTGGTCCAGGAGCTTGCCTGGTCTAGGAGCTTGCCTGATCTGGAGCTTGCCTGGTCCAAGAGCTTGCCTGGTCCACGAGCCTGCCTGGTCCAAGAGCTTGCCTGGTCCAGGAACGTGCCTCGTCCACGAGCGTGCCTGGTCCAGGAGCTTGCCTGGTCCAGGAGCTTGCCTGGTCCAAGAGCTTGCCAGGTCCAAGAGCTTGCCTGGTCCAGGAGCTTGCGTGGTCCATGAGCTTGCCTGGTTTAGGAGCTTGCTTGGTCCACAAGCTTGCCTGGTCCAAGAGCTTGCCTCGTCCAGGAGCATGCCTGGTCCAAGAGCTTGCGTGGTCCTGGAGCTTGCCTTGTTCGGGAGCGTGCCTGGTCCACGAGCGTGCCTGGTCCAGGAGCTTCTTGGTCCAGGAGCTTGCCTTGTCCAGGAGCTTGCCTGGTCCCTGAGCGTGCCTGGTCCACGAGCCTGCCTGGTCCAAGAGCTTGCGTGGTCTAAGAGCGTGCCTAGTCCACGAGCGTGCCTTGTCCAGGAGCTTGCCTGGTCCATGAGCTTGCCTGGCCCAGAAGCTTGCCTGGTCCAGGAGCTTGCTTGATCCAGGAGCATGCCTGGTTCAGGAGCTTGCCTGGTCCAGGAGCTTGCCTGGTCCTAGAGCGTGCCTGGTCCAGGAGCTTGCCTAGTCCAGGAGCTTGCTTGGTCCAGAAGCGTGCATGGTGCAAGAGCTTGCCTGGTCTAGGAGCGTGCCTGGTACAAGAGCATGCGTGGTCCCGGAGCTTGCCTTGTCCAGGAGCTTGCCTGGTCCAGGAGCGTGCTTGGTCTAGGAGCTTGCTTGGTTCAGGAGCATGCCTCGTCCACGAGCGTGCCTAGTCTAGGAGCTTGCTTGGTTCAGGAGCTTGCCTGGTCTAGGAGCTTGCCTGGTCTAGGAGCGTGCCCGGTCCAGGAGTGTGCCTAGTCCACGAGCTTGCTTTGTCCAGAAGCCTGCCTGATCCAAGAGCTTGCCTAGTCTAGGAGCTTGCCTGGTGCAGGAGCTTGCCTGGTCCAGGAGCTTGCCTGGTCCAAGAGCTTGCGTGGTCCAAGAGCTTGCGTGGTCCTGGAGCTTGCCTGGTCCAGGTGCTTGCCTGGTCTAGGAGCTTGCCTAGTCCAGGAACTTGCGTGGTTCAGGAGCGTGCCTGGTCCACGAGTTTGCCTGGTCCAGAAGCTTGCCTGGTCCAGGAGCTTGCTTGGTCCAAGAGTTTGCCTGGTCCAGGAGCTTGCTTGGTCCATGAGCTTGTCTGGTCCAGGAGCGTGCCTGGTCCACGAGTTTGCCTGGTCTAGAAGCTTGCCTGGTCCAGGAGCTTGCCTAGTCCAAGAGCTTGCCTAGTCCAGGAGCTTGCCTGGTCCAGAAGCTTGCCTAGTCCACTAGCTTGCCTGGTCCAAGAGCTTGCTTGGTCCAAGAGCTTGCGTGGTCCAAGAGCTTGCCTGGTCCAGGAGCTTGCCTGGTCTAGGGGCTTGCCTATTCCAGGAGCTTGCCTGGTCCAGGAGCGTGCATGGTCCACGAGTTTGCCTGGTCAAGAAGCTTGGGTGGTCCAGGAGCTTGCCTGGTCCAAGAGTTTGCCTGGTCGAGGAGCTTGCCTGGTCCAGGAGCTTGCTGCGGAGATAACTACTACAACGGGAGCTAGACTACTGGCTAGGCACGTGTGCTCGTGTGATCTCTGCGTTCGTTGGTCCTTAGACGTTTTCCTAGTGCTAACACTGCTTGCTAGTTCACGGGGCAATTTGGCAAGAGTTTCACTAAGAAAAGATCACAACAATGGTACAATGAAGTTGGCAATGCAAGACTACATCAGAGCTAGCATTCAGGTTGGTCAACTGCCAGCACAGCATGGTCGACCGCATTCCAACACGACTTGGTCGACCGCGCTCCAGCAGAGCAAAGTCGACAGCTTGCCAATGCTTCAGGTCGACGGTGTGCCAGCAGTGCACCCGCTTTGCAGGTGCGTGCAGATGATTGGTATGCCGAGCCTTATCACCTGCACAGCACACACACACCACGTCAGCCTCGGGCTGACGGCTACCTCTGATCTGCCACGACGACCTCGTGATACCACCACCAAGGTCGGTCTCGCCAGCTTCGCCTGGGCGACCGTCGCACTCCTCCGCAGCACTTCGTCACCCAGGTAACCTGGTCGACCGGGCAACCACATCGACCAGCAACTCCCGTACGTGTCCGTCGACCTCCCAAGTCGACGACCACCTCGTTGTCGACCTCACCGGGTCGACCATGCCCCTCGGTCGACGACCATGTCACTCGACGCCCGACTGCTCGACGCCCGACTGCTCGACGTCCTGACTGCTCGACGTCCTGCTACTCGACGTCGACCCCTCCTTCGTCGACCACCGGTCCAGTCAACCACCCGCAGGTCGACCAGCACATCAGCCGACCACCAAAGTCGGCTTCCCAAGTTGACGTCCTCCGCAGGTCGACGCTTAAGTCGACCTCCCCGAAGTTGGCGCCACCCCGAAGTCGGCGCCCGTGCAGTGGTCCCCGTGCAGGTCGACCTCCTCGTCGACCAGCTCGCCCACTGCTGCAGGTCGGCTGCTCCCCTAACACCCGACCACGATGTCGGCTCCGCCCAAGCGTGGACGGGGCCAACATACAACTCCCGTTGACACTCCCCTGCCGCGTTCACGCTTGGTCCCCCTCAAGTCCACTCGGCAGTACTCCTCGGAGAATAGCTCGTCGACGTGCACCCAACACACCGCACGTCGTCCACCGCACCAGCCATGCAAGAGGGCATGGCACCTACTGCTGCACGTCGTTGTCGCCGTCGCCCACGTCGGCCAAGCGCACCTGGCCGATTGCGACGGAGCACCGGTTGAAGGCCGGATAGTGCAGGGCCTTCGTCAGGAAGTCGGCCGGCTGCTCAGTGGTTGGGATGTACCTCAACGAGAACTTCCCGCGCTTCACCATGTGCTGCAGCCAGGCCTGTCGCCGCTCCATGTGCTTGAGGTTGCCCGTCAACCCCATGCCCTCGGCGACTGAGATAGCCGACTTGTTGTCCACCCAAAGGACGGTCGGCTTCCCGGCATCCAGCTGCCGGAACTCTGCAAGGAGGAAACGAAGTCGACGTCCTTCTTTGCCGGCTTCGGTGGCTGCCACGTACTCCGACTCAGTCGACGACAACGTCGCACACTTGATGCGCTGGCTCGACCAGGAGACTGCAGCCCCTCCATAGACGAACACGTAGCCACTCGTGCTCGTCCTGTTCTGCTTGTCACCGGCGTCGTCGGCGTCCACGTAGCCGACCAGGTCCAGCGACTCAGGTCCACCGCCGAACTCCAGAGCGGTGTCACGCGTATTGGCGAGGTAGACGAGGCAGCGGTCGACCTCACGCCAGTGCTGGTCGCTCCTCACCGTGAGACCGCTCCCCAGCTTGCTGCAGGCGAAGGCGATGTCCGGCCTCGTCGTCGTTGCCGCGAACTGCAGCGAGCCGACCTTCTGCCGGTACTCCTCCTCTTGCCGCTCCTGTGCCTCCTCATCATCGAACGTGAGCTCAGCGTAGGCGGCGACAGAGACCGGCGTCTTCGGGGTGCGCCCGGTCTGCTCCTCGTCGATGAAGCGCCTACGCAGCTTGTCGGCGTAGCCCTGCTGGTGCAGCCACAGCTTCCCCGCCGACCTGTCGCGGACGATCTCCAGCCCGAGGTACTTCTGCACCGGCGAGATCTCACGCAGCTCGAAGGCGGCTTCCAGCAGCTCCTTCAGCTCCTTCAACATCGCGGTGCTACTGCTGGCGGCAAGTAGGTCGTCGACGTAGACCAGCACCCAGCAGGCCACTCCGTCCTCTCCGACCTTGCAGTAGAGAGCCTCGTCGACCTGGCTCTTCTTCCACCCGGCGCCGACCAGCACGTCATTGAGCGCCAAGTACCACAGCAGCGGCGACTGCTTTAGCCCGTACAGGCTCTTCAGCAGCTTGCACACCCGGCCGATCCCGTCGTTGAAGTAGTCTGGCTGGGACATGTAGAGCACCCTGTCGAGCTTGCTCTGCAAGAAGGCGTTCTTCATGTCGAGCTGCATCAGTTTGAGGTTGCGGACGGCGACGATACTGAGGAAGATCCTCAGCGTGACGTAGCTGCCCACCGGCGCAAACGTCTCGTCGTAGTCGGCGCCATACACCTGCGTGAAGCCCTTCACCACCAGCCTCGCCTTTTCGCGCTCGACGGTGTCGTCGACGTGGTACTTCGTCGTCAACACCCACCGGTTCTTCATGACGTTCACTCCCGGCGGACGTTCGACCAACTCCCACGTTCCCATGTTGAGGAGGCTGCGAATCTCCTCCTCCATGGCGGCCTTCACTGCCGGGCCCTTCCAGCTCGCCAACGCCTCCTTCACCGTCATCGTCGAGATGTCCCAACGGTGCTCGGGGTCGGCTAACATGTCGGGGTCGAGCTCTGGAAACTCTTCATCCTCCTCGGCATCGTCGTACAGCAGGTTGTCGGCCTCATCGTCCACGTCGTACACCGTGGTGAAGGCAGCGGGGACGAAGAAGTCAGGCGGCCTCTGAAGTCGGCCTGAACGCCGTGGTCCTGGCTGGACCTCCTCGGCGTCCCCTCCATCATTGCCGCTGCCCTCGACGTCCTGCTGCTCGTCAGCCGGCGTCCCAGCCGACTTCTCCCCTATGGTCGGCTCCCCTGCCGACTGCCCGGTCGCCGACTGCTCCTTGGTCGGCGTCATTGCTGCCTGCTCCTCTGCTGGCCGCTGGTCCTTGACCTGCTTCTCGACCTGCTCCTCCCCTGTCGACGTTGACTGCAAGCCCACGTCGCCCTGCCGCTCGTCGCGTCGGCCACCGGCGATGCATTTGGCCGAAGGCGGCGTCGCACCACTCCCCTCATCGCCGGAGGCCGACACCGAGGTCAGCCGACGCAGATCGACCACGAGGGGAGGGGTGGGGGTCGCAGGAGGAGGAGCAGGGGGGCGGA